TAAAAGTGATTAGTTTTTTCTTTGATATTTTATTTAGCCGACATTATATATTTTTAGAGTTAGCTTTATTAGTTGCAGGTATATATATTTTTAGTAAATTGTTACTTGGCATAATGCCAACTAAGTAAGCTATTAACAGTAATGGATCTTATTTTCTTGATTTCTATTTTATCTACAGACTAGGGAGGTTAAATTATAAGTCTGATCCGATCTGGTCCTAGAATCTTCTAGGATCTTCTAGGACCATCCTGGACTCGAATTCTTAAATTACAATACATTATATAGGATTTAGATTCTGAATTGGATCCCTTTGAATAAGTTTATCCAATCCATTTAATTCTGTATTGTTAAATAATTCAATCTAGGTTCTAAATCCTATATAAATGTATTATGTTTTCATGTGACTTAAGGATCGAGTGCTCACTGATCCTTGAAAGAATCTGCCAGGGTCGGTTAGGACTCGATCCCAAAGGACCAATTAACATTCCTACTACAGACCAATATTATATCAGGTTAGAGTTGGCATTTTATAAGTTGTATATATATAAATATATATATATAATAGTAAATTGTCACTTACATGATGTTATTTAAATAGGTTTTTAAATTAAATAGATATCAGTAAAATTGGATAAATATATCCGCAGCAAAGTAAGACAGATTAATATAACTAAATTTATTTTATAATAGGTTTTTGAAAAAATTTTATTAGTTGAAGAATTTTCAGACCTAAATGATCTAAAACTAAATCAATTTGACTGGAAATCTCTTGAAAATATTGCAGTATTTTTAAAATGTTTTGCTAAACTTTCTACTGAAATGTGTTCTTCTTCATACCCAACAATTAGTGCAGTATATCCTATGTATAATTATCTTATAGATCATTGTGAAAAAAGAATGAATGATCAAACCTCTGATAAAATATCAAACGCAGCAAAAGTAGCATGGGACAAGCTTTGAGAATATTATAATAAAACTTCAGAATCTTATCATTATATTTCCACGATTCTTGATCCCCATTGGAAGCTTAAATATTTTCAAGCTTGGGCTAGTAATAATAAAGATCAAGTTTATTATAAACATGCAAAAGATTTGTAAATTTAAATTTATTATTTATTTATTTAAATTAATTAATTAATTATTTAAATTTGTTTATTTTATTAGAATTACTAAACAATTTGATGATTATTGTTCTTTATATTTTCCAATTTCATCATCTGTAAGTAATAATTTAACTACACCAAATAAAGAAAATGATGAAGATTCTTTATTTCCTGTTCCAAAGCATTTTCATAACAATGATGGTCATGATGAACTTAATGCATATTTGGATAGTTTTTCAGAACCTGGTGAAATTAATGTATTAGATTGGTGGAGAACTTACGAAAAACAATATCCTACATTAGCAATAATGGCTTGTAATTATTTATCAATACCTGCCACTAATGCTCCTGTAGAATGGTTATTTAGTGAAAGTGAAAATGAAGTTACTTTTGAAAGAAATAAGCTTGATATTGAAACTATACAAGCACTTATGTGTTTTAAAAGTTAGTTATAATTTAGTATTATAGATTTTATATATTTTGTTATAAATTTTACTATTTTGTTAGTATCATATTTTTTATTTATATATTTCTTATTTGAACAAGAATTATTACAGCACAATAAAATTTCTTTCAAAAAACTGTGACTGTGGTTATGAAATAGTTTGAGCTTAGATAAATAAGATAATATCTATTACACCATTTTTACTTTTTTTTTTTTTTTTTGTTAGCTATCAAAAGGGATATGCGAAGTCAATATAGATGTAGACAAAGATATAAAATAATAATTTAGAGATAGACTAAGATGGTATCGTAATAGTTGGCTAGGATTTAAGCCTAACGAAACTATTGTAATAGGGAAAAAAAAGAGATATAGAACTAGAATAGTGTATATGATAGCTAATAGTTCCTTATATATGATTCAAAAGTATAAATGTGCTGCTTTTTTACACCTCTAATAAAGTTTTAAAATGCTTTCAAGCACATGCCCTCTACTTCTTTAATAAGTATAAATTAATTATCATAACATGATTTGATCTTAATTATAAAAATTGTTAACCGATTTTAAATTTATTACGTAATCTTATATGCAGAAGTTATTATTATAATCAACTGTATTATCTTAATATCCCTGCTCTAATAAAAAGAAGATATAAGTTAACTATTGGAGCTAGATTGTGCTGAAGCTCTTCTGAACAATAGTAACAATATCATACTGCATATGTCATCTGACTTTAGAACAAATTGGCTGTTTGTTCAGAGGAACCGAATACATATTCAGAAACTTCACCTTTCGCTCTATCGCTACATACAGTCAAAATAATTACAAAAATAGAGAAGTAATTATGAAGGTTAGTTATAAAACGTTTTTTCAAATTTAGAATCTTAAAAAAAAAGAAATACAGTATTAGAGCTTTTTTTTTTTGTAAGAGTTCTAACAAGTGAGTTATTCTTAAGATTGAGAATATGTTAGCTTATAATTATTAGACAAAGCCGGTTTCAGCTTTTGTCATCTAAAACTCTAATAAGTAAAACTAAAAAACTGTGAAATATTGAAAGATAGGTTTGAGTTTCACATACTTTTTACTTGCAGTTGATTATTTCCTTTAATTCATTTATATTAATGATTTTTTATTATTTATTGTTAGCGGTTTAGTTTTAAAGGTTTACTAATTTCTCTCACACTTCATCATCGTAGTAGTAATTTATAGTAATATCCTTTTACATTATTTATCGTTGCGGCTGATGCTGAAATTCAGACCTATTTTGTTATGAAATTTTTTGTAGTATTTGTTTCTGCTTTTTTTTTAGAGTTGAGATTTAGTGATAGAATTGATTATTAAAAAATATATGTGGATTTTAGCAGGGCTTATATTTTCGAATCAAAGTTTTAAATTTCAGCATCAGCTGTGACATTTATATGTAGGTGTTTTTAGAGCTATTACTCAGGTTGTGCTAACCTGTAAGGATTACAGGTCAAAAATCATCTTTACACGAATTAAACAGATCAGGGATGCAAATATTTACTTTTTATACTTTTGCACCTACTTTTTTGATACATCTAAACATATCTTAAAATTTCTATACTTTTTACTAACGTTTACTATAATAATGCATAGTCTTATTTGTTATGTTTAGATATATCAAAAAAAGTAGATGTATAAGTATCTCAATATACCACGACTTAAAGTTTAATTATTGAGCTTGACTTATGTAACTATTTTCCTGGGCTATAACCTGGGTTGAAAAAGTTTAAGTTTAACAGGATGAGAGCTCTAAGTGTTTTGCAGATCAAGTGTATTATAATTTAAATTTTGGCCTGTACTATATTGATTTTCCTAGACTATCTCTTATATACTAATAGATTGTTAAAGTTGATGTTTTTTTTTTAAAATCTAACTGATTATATGCATGACAAGGATTATCAGATCCAAGTAGAAATTTAAATAAATGTATCTTTAATCAATCTTTTATTCAATGTATTTACTTTGGGTTCATTTATCAGTTTTTGTAAAATCATGGACTACAAAAAATTAACTAATCAGAATAAAAACCTACTATGCACTCTAGTTAGGATTTGGCACTGTCAGGATCTTGATAATATCAGGATTTTGGCACTGTTGGGTTCTTGGTAATGTCAATATTTTGGCATTATTGGGATCTTGGTATTGTTGGAATCTTGGCATTGTCAGGATCTTGGCATTGTCGGGATCTTGGTATTGTTGGGATCTTGGCATTGTCAGGATCTTGGCATTGTTGGGATCTTGGCATTGTTGGGATCTTGGCATTGTTTGAATTTTAGCATTGTTGGAATCTTGATGTCAGGATCTTGGTGTTGTCAAGAATTTGGCATTGTCGGAATTTGGCATTGTCAGGATTTTTGCATTGTTGGGATGTCGGGATCTTGGTGGTGTCAGAATTTTTGGATTGTAGGGATTTTGTTACTATCAGGATTGTGATGTTAGAATTTTGTCACTGTCAGGATTGTGACATTGGGTGTCAGGATTTATGTAGATAGCATCAGGATTTAGTATTATTGGGATTTTTGAAGTGACAAGATTTGGTTTTGGGATTTTAGTACTGTCAGGATTCTGGTATCAGGATTATCTATTTAGTTCTAGGGTTATTAATCAAATAATTCAAATCAATCAAATCAAATCAAATATTTGATAATCAAATTCAAATTAAATAATTATCTAATTTGAATTTGATCAAATCAAATTTAATTTTGATTTGATTTGATTTGAGATCAAATATTTGATCAAATCAAATCAAATCAAATCAAATCAAATCAAATTGCGGAACCCTAATAGTATCATACCTAGTATTGCAGAATCCCTATTATATATTTGAAAATATATTATTTAAGTTAATTATTTTATACTTAATTTTATTTATTTGTTATTTTAAAGCAGCAATTCGAATTATTGTCTGATGCGTAGTGAGGACTCAATTGTTTATGCAAAGTTTGATGCACGTTCATACAATGTTTGTCAGATACGATCAATGAAAATCAAAAATTGAGAGTTTTTGTGATGATCTGCAGTTAGTATACTAAATTTTCATGCATGATCTGCAGTCAGTAATAGGCTAATACATATAATGATATGATTTTTTATTTTATTTCACCATGGTTATTATAATTTCTTTTATAGAAATAATTCATGATAAGTTCTTATATATAAATAATATGTAGTAATTTAAATTTGAGCGAATCTATTTGTCGCCGCCGGTGACAGTACCGAACACGTGACTTTCATTTGATTGGCTAACATAAAACAATCTCGTATAACAATAATCGACCAATCAAAATCAACGATATAATTATCATTTAAAAAAATCAAGTTTTTTATTTATTTTAAAAAAAAAAAAAAAAGAAAAAAATAAGACGAAATTACACTATATAATACATTTTATGATGTAATGCAAATATAACAAAGACGAAATCATAGCACTATATATCCGCCGTAGAGACACCACAACCACTGTAAAGACACCATAAACGCCGTAGAGACAACACCAACCATCGTAGAGACAACACCAACCATTGTAGAGACAACACCAACCGTCATAGAGACACCACACTACACAATCGCTATAGAGACACCATAAAACACCGTAGAGACACCACACAATCGACATAGAGACACCACATAATCGCTGTAGAGACATCATAAATGTCGTAGATGCCGTAAAGACACTGTAGAAAGATCTAAAGAAAAGGCAAAGTTAGTAATTAGAAAAAAAAAAAAGAAACAGAATATAAAAAAAAAGAGCTGAAACAGGAATAAAAAGAATGAAAGAAAAAAGAAAAGAACAAAGAAAAAAAAAAAAAAATTAAAGAAAAAAAAAAGAAAAGAAGAGAAAAAGAAGAAAAGAAGAGAAAGAGAAAAAACGAAAAAAAAAGAAGAAACGAAGAGAAAGAGAAAAAACAAAAGAAAAGTGAAAGAACAAAAAAAAGGAGAAAAAGCAAAGAAATAAAACAAAAGAAAAGAAATGAACGAAAAAAAAGGAGCAGAAGAAAAGAAAAAAAAGAGAAGAAAAGAAAAAGAACGAAAGAACAAAAAAAAATAAAATAAAATAAACAATGAATGAAAGAAAAGAACAAAGAAAAAGAAAAAATCAAAAAAAAAGAATAAAGAAAAACAAAAGAACGAAAAAAAAGAAAAGAACAAAGAGAAAGAGAAGAAACGAAGAGAAAGAGAAAGAACGAAGGAAAAAAGAAAAAACGAAAATAAAAAAAAGAACAAAAAAAAAACAGAATGAAGAAAAAGAAAAAAAAATAGAGGGAAAAAAAGAAGCGGAAAAAAGAAAAAAAAAAGAAAAAAAAGAAAAAGAACGAAAGAAAAAGAACAAACAAAAAAAAAAACAAAAAGAATTAAAAGAATGAAGAAAAAGAAAGGAACAAAGAAAAAA